GAAAAATAATCTGAATCAATCGGGTTAACCGGTCAAACGTGGGATCTATGTCATGAAAATCTAATAATTAAACAGAAAAAATTTAATATTAAGAAACTAAATTAAAAAATTACAAAAGAAAAAAGATAAAAAAAAAAAACTAAATGCATTAGCTTTTTCACTGTGAATTGCACTGTGCAGTCCACAATAAAAAGCTTAAAAAGAAAAGAAAAAAAACAAAACAAAGACATATGCCACGGGTTATTTTTTTATTGCATAAAAAATATCAAAAAATGTTAAGATATAAGAGTGTTATTTATTTTTGCAAAGATATATCCAAGAACCTTTGATCTAGCTTGACGCAAGAGTAATATTTATAATATTTATAATATTTATAATAATATTAAATTTACATGACTCAAGTTTAAGTGAGTCTGATTGTAATATTAGACCCAAGAGCTTTGGAAGTGGGTCTGGCTACAAGGTCATGTCATAAAAATATGATAATTAAATAGATTAATTAAAAAAAACCAATAAAAAGAAAAAAAATAATGAAAAAGAGAAAAAAATCTAAATTAACTATGTTAACTCTTCAAATCAGCTTAACCCGTCAAACCTTAGATTTGGGATATGAAATTTTGATAACTACATAGAAAAAAAATTTGACGGGTTAATCTGTCAAGTTTAGGATACGTGTCATGAAAGTTTGATAATTAAATAGAAATAAATTTAACATTAACACACTAAACTAAATGAAAAAATTAATTAAAAAGAAAAAAAGCAAAAAAAAATAAAATTCCATGTTAACTCGTCAAATTAGGTTAACCCGTCAAACTCGGAATTCATTAACAAACTAAATTAAACAAAAACATTTATTAATAGGAAAAAAACAAAGAAAAAAGAAAAAAAAATCCCATAAAGGCATAAAAAACCAAAAATAATAATATAATAATAATAATTATTATTATTATTATTATTATTATTAAAAGGCATGGGGAAGCTATAGTGCTTTTCATAAAAGGCGTGGGGAAGCTACAGTGCTTTTCACATGAAAAAAAAAACTAATGAAGGAAAAAAATCTAAATTAACAAGGTTAATCCTTCAAACCAGGTTAATCAGTCAAACGTTAGATTCATATTATTAAAGTTTGATAACTAAATAGAAAAAAAATATTTGATGGGTTAACCCATAATTAACTGGGTTAATCTATCAAACTTGAAAATTTGATGGGTTAACCCATAATTAACTGGATTAATCTATCAAACTTCAAATACGTGTCATGAAAGTTTGATAATTCAATAGAAAGAAATTTAACATTAACAAACTAAACTAAATGAAAAAAAATAATTAAAAAAATAAATAAAATTCCTGGTTAACTCATCAAGTCAAGTTAACCAGTCAAACTCGGGATTCAGTAACAAACTAAATTAAACAAAAAAAATTATTAAAAGAAAAAAACAAAAAAATCCAGAAAGGCATAAAAAACAAAAAAAAATAAACACACACACACATATAATAATAATAATAATAATAATAATAATAATAATAATAATAATCATAATAATAATAATAATTATTTTATTATTATTATTATTATTATTATTATTATTATTTTTAAAAGGCGTGGGAAAGCTACAACTTTCCCCACGTGTTTTAATATAATTACTAGTTAAATGATCTGCACGATGCTGCGGGGTTAATGTTTTCATAAAAATATTAAAAAGAGTCAAGATTTAAAAGTATTAGATATTTTTTACAAAGTTATATCCAACAGTTTTAGGTTTGACTGCAACACCAAACCTAAGAGTAATATTTATAATAACATTAAACTTGAAAAACCCAAGTTTAAGTGGGTCTGGCTGCAATACCAAACCTAATAGTCTTGGATATGAGTCTAGCTACAAAGTTGTGTCGTAAAAGTATGATACTTAAATATATTAATTAAAAAAAATAAAAAAAAACTAACATGAAAAAAAAAATCTGAATTAACTGGGTTAACCCGTCAAACTTGAGATCCTTATCATGAAAGTCTGATACCTAAATAGAAAAAAATTTAATATCAATAAACTAAATATAAAAAAAGCTAATTAAAAAGAAAAAAAACATCAACCTTTTCATCATGGATTGTATTGTGCAGTCCACAATGAAAGACATAAAAAGAAAAGAAAAGAAAAACTAAAGACATTAGCCTTTTTACTATGGACTGTATATAATATTAAAAGATGAAATTAGAGGAAGAAAAATAATGAAAAAAAAACAATCTGAATCAATCGAGTTAATCAATCAAACCTGGGATCTGTGTCATGAAAATCTAATAATTAAATAAAAAAAATTAATATTACAAAACTAAATTTAAAGAATAATTACAAAACAAAAAAAAAAGTTAAAAAGATAAAAAAACTAAAGACATTGGTTTTTTCACTGTGGATTGTGCAATCCACAGTAAAAGGCTTTAAAAGGAAAAAAAACAACAACAAAGGCATACATCATGGGTTGTATTTTTTTCTTGCATAAAAAATATCAAAAAATGCTAAGATCTAAAAGTATATCCAATAACCTTTAGTCTAGCTGCAACGCTTAACCCAAAAGTAATATTTATAATAATATTAAACTTACATAACTCAAATTTAAGTGAGTCTGGTTGCAACATTAGACCCAAGAGCTTTAGATGTAGGTCTGACTGTAAGGTCGTATTATAAAAGTATGATAATTAAATAGATTAATTAAAAAAATAACAGAAAAAAATTAAAGAAAAAATTTTGAATTAATTAGGTTAACCCTTCAAACTAGGAGGTTAACCCGTCAAAGTTTAATAACTAAATAGAAAAAAATTTAACGGGTTTACCTATAATTAACTAGGTTAACATGTCAAGTTTGGGATATATGTTATGAAAGTATGATAATTAAATAGAAAAAAATTTAATATTAACAAACTAAACTAAACGAAAAAAATTAATTAAAAAAGGAAATTTCTGGTCAACTTGTCAAATCAGGTTAACCCGTTAAACTCAAGATTTATTAAAAAACCAAATTAAATAAAAAAAATGTATTAAAAGGAAAAAAAAAGAAAAAAGTAAAAAAAATAACTATAAAGGTATAAAAAGTAAAAAAATGAAAAAATGTTATAATATAATAATATAATTATCATTATAGTATTATTATTATTATTATTATTATTATTATTAAAAGACGTGGGAACCTATAGTGCTTTCCCCGTATGTTTTAGTATATTGTTAATAATACAAGTATCAGTAGAATAGAGATGTTGATTATGCTGAAGTATATCTTGGAGATGATACAGTTAAAATTGGACAAGAGGTCCACATTATTTCCATGTCTGCAACTCTCTCTCACGTCTTCGCTGCTGCGAAAATCACTGGTTATGGTACCCTTGGGTTCGATTTTGGCAATAAAAGTCAGCCGATGTTTATGGTTAGTGACATATCAATTGTGTCGGGTAGCTCTGGAGCTCCGGTGTTTGATGCAAGAGGGAGAGTTCTTGGGATAGTAACACATGGACACCTTGGATATAATGTTGTGAGGAAGGTTGTCGGAAATGATTTTATTTAAACTCGTAACCTTTGCAGACTTATAGCTTGAAAAAAAGGTCTGTATATCTTTTTTAGTTCATCATCTGATCGAGACGACAGGGTAGAAATTAAGATGGTTACTGCTTCTGGCATTTTGAAGCAGCACTTGTGTGTTCTGCTAGCTATGGTTGATTTTGGACCTTTTCCAGTTCTAAAATGGAGTCCTCTTCGATGTCAATGCCTGGCAGGGGTATTTAAAAAAATAAAAAAACTGATTAAATTGAAAAAATTAAAAAATAATAATTAAAAAAATCAAACTAAAAAAAATCCAATTAAAATTTTAAAAAATTCAGCCAGTTCGGTTTAGTTTCAGTTTTGTAACAAAAAAATCAAAAAAATTGAACCAAATCGAGCCAAACCAGAAAAAACCGAGCCAAACTAAAAAACCGAGCCAAAAACAAAAAAATGGAGCTAAATTGAAAAAATTGAACTAAACCGGTTTTAACTGGTTTTTTCTCTAAAAACCGAACTAAATCGAACCGAAACCAATCGGTTTGACCAGTTCTAGTTCAGTTTTTTTTTCAATATTTTTTTTTAGTTTATTTAATTTTTTTGATAAAAACCTAACTAAATAAAAAATAAACACCTTGTTTCAATGAACATGGACGTGCGTTAATTAGAAAATTAAGATTTTGTTTATTATTATTATTATTATTATTATTTTGCATTCTCTTGCATGCATGAAGTCTCAAGAAATACTCGGGAATGAATTAAAAATTAATTTTGCAATATAGGATTTTACTCTTAGTTACAAATAGAAATTAATAAAACATTAAGGATCAATTTTTACAAAGAAAAAAATAACTCATTTAAGTTTAAACACGAAAAACTTCAATTTAATCCTTAACATTTTAATTTATCTATTATTATTTTAGTAAATAATGTTTCAGACCACATTTTATGTTTTCTTCTTAGCATTGATTACAAGTCATTTTCCTACATAAAAAATCATCAAAGAGTTAAGCATGTTCGTTTCGTAAAAAATGATTTTTTATTTTTTTATATTTATTTATTATTAAAAAAATTAATCAATAAAAAAAGACTTTCAATTAAAAAAATTGATTTAATTTTTTAAAAAATATATTTTTATTTTTAAATAGAAATACTTTCTAAAAGTTATAAAAAATTTAAAAATATTATATTATTTATTAATTATATCAAATTTAATACTTAAACTTCTAATTATTATATATATTTTTTTTGAATTTTTTATAAAATTAATTTTTTTCAATTTTATTTTTACTCATCTTTTTAATTTATAAAATTTATTTTTATTCATTTAATAAACTTAAAAATAAAATAAATTATTTTACAAATTATTTTTCATAATATAGTTAAATATTAAAATATATTTACCAATTTATATTTTTATAATTATCAAATATCATAAAATAATTGATTTTCAATCCTTCAAATCGACATCAATTTGAATAATTTATTTCCTTCGATTCTGGTGGGTGACAAGCTAGCGGTTGAAGTTCTTATCATTTGTTACTAAATTAATCATTTAAACGTAAATATACTGCGTGATTGATGGGCGGCGGCTAGCAATCTGTGGTTTTGGCAACTGGGCTGAAGATAGTTCAAACGGATTTTAGGCAAGCTTGCAAGCAACGATTACATCTATGGATGATCATGGTCTTCGTCATGGACGGGATCGGGGAGAATCATCATCATCATCAATTGAAATCCAAAATCAATGGAGAGAGTATGATGCTAGGCTGCTACTCGTTTGCTTGCTTGCTTGAATGCTGTTTTCTCGTTTGTATAGCAGTGATTTATGTGATATATGTGATTGATCGATTGATTAAATGTTGTAAAAAGCAGGATTCAAGATTTACTTAAAGAGAGGTTGATAACACAGGATGATTTCCCTTGGAAACTGCCCATACCCAGCAGCAGCGGCAATGTTGTTGTTGAAGAAGAAGGAACGTTATTGAAATATGTGGGTGGGGTTGATGTAAGCTATTCTAAGGAATTAGACTCAGCAGCAGCAGCAGCATCAACGGCAGCATGCGGATGTGGAAGCCTTGTTGTTTTGGATGTCACCACTCCCACTCTGCAAGTCGTCTACCAAGATTTCTTTCTCCTCACCAATTTCGATGTCCCTTATATTCCTTCCTTCCTTGCTTTCCGAGAGGTCAGTAGAATCTATTGTTATCATTGCGATTCTTTCTTTCCTTCTTTATTTATCATTGATGATGATGATGATGATGATTTTTAGGCTCCAATACTGTTACAACTGTTACAGAAGATGAAAAAAACTGACAATCCATTCCACCCCCAGGTCAGCCAATCCACAATCCTCTTTCTTTTTCATTTCATCCCTCCCCTCCCATCCCCTTTATGAATATGATAATCTCGTACCATATATACCTTCCATGCATCATATGTATCGATTCCTACTCTCTTGCCTTGCCTGTTAATTAAGGTTTATCTGAAATTGAGGTTGTCTCTGTTTTATTCAACAGTTACTGCTTGTTGATGGCAATGGTTTGCTACATCCTCGAGGCAAGTTTCTCTCTCTCCTTTTCCATTGAATCTTCATTTCTTTTTATGCATTGCATTACATATAGCAAATAGCAAATAGCTCTTTTTCACAGGTTTCGGCTTGGCTTGCCATCTTGGTGTTCTGGCTAAAATCCCCACCATTGGCATAGGAAAGAATGTAACTAACCTCGTACTACTTCTAAATTACTACTCTTTTATTACCAAATGCTAAATATTGTA